TATTGCAGATTGGCCCTAAAATGAGGAAATCAATATTACTCTATATAAATTTCAAACACAATACACCAAGATCACTACTTTGTAATAAAAACCCAATCTAAAAAATTCATCAAGAATCCAAAATCAACAAATTACAAAGAAAGAAAAAAACACAAAGGAAATAACATTCAAAACCACTAAATAACAGAAAAATTGAAAACCCACCTGCCCAGTAATCCTATCAAGCTCTTTAATCAAATAAACCCTGTTTTGTGATTCCTGCCATAACCTATAATCCCAAATCAAACCCAGCACACAATTCAGACTAAAACAAGAACACACTAAATAAAGTTTCGATCTTTAGTTAGTCAAAACACAAAAAGTTCCAATATTTCTTAGTGATTGAAATGTCGGTCAATGATCAAGATAGTAAGATTAGAGGAGGAAATAAAACATACCTGCCAGAAACATAAATGGAAGCAAAAGTAGCAAACATTGAGAGTAACAAAGTGGAGATTCTTGATCCAGAAACCATACTTGATGATGTCCTGTTAGTATTAAATCCTTTACTACCACCATGCATCTTTAATGCCTTTGATTATCAGGATTTGGTGGGATTATTGCGAAAGACTTTTATGTTATTACAAAGTAAAGCAAGGAAAGATTGAAAATGCAAATGTGGGTTTTGTAATTAGAGACAAGATCGAGTGAGAGGGGGAAGGAGTTGAGTTGATAGATTGGCTGGTGATCTGTTCGATGGAACTAGCCAGCTGTTCGTGTTTTTGAGTCTGTCTAGTGTCTAGAGTATCGTGGGCGAGTTAAATTTCTCCGAGGATGTTTGATTTTGCGGGTAAGGAAATGTTTTTGATTTTTTTTTTAAGAAAAAATATTTTAAATTATTTTTTATATTTTAAATTATTTTAATGTGCCTAAATTAAAAGGAAATTTAAAAAATTTAAAAAAGAATTATTTAATATATTTTTAAATAAAAATATTTAATAAAAAAACAACTATTACTATTATCTCAAATATTATTTTATGAAGTAACAATCTTTTTTTTTTTTCATGGATGAGTGAGTTTCATTTTAATATCAAGATAGTGTTTGTTCTTGCTATTAGACTAAATTTTTTTAAATGACTTTTTTAATTTTAAGTTAATTTTAATTTTTTTTAATGTATTGGTATAAAAAATAATTTTTTAAAAAATAAAAACATTATTTTGATTTTTCAAATAAAAAATACTTTGAAAATTAATATTTATCACAATCTTAAACATATCCTCGTATATCTTCCCAGTATTTATTAGATATATGTTTGACATGATATTATTTTATGTGATTATGGTGAGATTTTAAAAAATATATTTTTAATTATAATTTAAAAATATATTTTTTTTAAAATAAGTATTTGGTTAAAAATATTGTGAGATGAATTTTTATATGGAAAATAAATAAATAAAATTATTTTAACTTTTATAAAACTAAAACTTGAAACACAAACACAAATACCAAAAACAAAAGCTATTTAATTAATAAAATAATATTTTTATATAACTTGGTGTAAAAAATAGAAGATATCATAACACTAATTAGACTCTAAATTATGATTCTATTTATTTTATTAATTTTATGCCGAATACCACTTAATCTATTCATCATTGCCAATTAAATAATATATTTAATTTTATACTCTTGAAATGATTATACTTTTGGAAGATTATTTTAACATCAAATAATGGTAAATTTCCCCTTTTTTCCATTTTAATGGCTCGTATAATAGGAAATCTTTCTATGATTCAGCACTAAGATTATCATTACATCATTTTGGAGTTTATTTTGATACTTTTAATGGAAACAATTAATGAAAAAATATAAAAAATGGGTGAAATATTTAACTATAACTATTATTTGATGGACTGAAGAATGACATTATCTAAAGTCTATTTCATTTGAAGTAAAATCGATAAAAAAAAAAGTTTGAAACTTGATTGATTACAGGATAATTCATTAGGGGCTAAATTAATATTTACCTTATTTTTTTATTTTTTTAATTTCCCTTCATTATTATAGTATATCCTTGTATCATTATTAATTTATGTGAGATATCTATTCAAGCATATATATCAAGAATATCCAATAGAATCAACATGTAAAATAATTATATTTTTGCCTCCAATTTCCCCTTCCTGTAAAAAGCCCTTTGCGCCATGGGCTCCATAATCCTCGTACAAGTTCTTCTCCTTCACCAACAAGGCCTGCTTATTTTGAGAGTGATTTTTTATTTTTTATTTTTTTGCATTGAAGGCTCAATGAGTTTCCATATAGTTTTATTATTATTATATCATAAAATATTTTTAAGATTAGTTTATTCACCAATTGGAATTAAAGTTAATCTTCAGAGGATTTTAAACGCTCGGTGAAATCTGATTTAATAAACAAAATTTATCACAAATAATTTTGGCGCACCAAATTAGAGTTCAAAATAAGAGTAAAAAATAAAATTATTAAAATGACTTCATAAATGAAATTTAAGTATGCTATCTAAATTATATTTAAAAAATAAATTAATAATCCCAATGATAATAAATATGTTGAGTCAAAGGTACCAATTGCATTATTAAGAGAATGTTTAGGAACGCAGTTGAACTTGTGTTTTCAAAAAATTTAAAAAAAAATTATTTATTTTTTTTAATAAAATTTAATATGATTTATACGTTTTGGATCGTTTTGATGTGCTAATATTAAAAATAATTTTTAAAAAATAAAAAAATATCATTAATATATTTAAAAAATAAATTAATAATCCCAATGATAATAAATATGTTGAGTCAAAGGTACCAATTGCATTATCAAAAAGGGTCCATGACTTGGTACGATTTTCAGGTACAAGTAAAAGCATCTGCCTCATTAAATTGCCTCTCAAGTGCCATCACTTCCATTACTTGTATTGGGGCAATGTCCTTTTCCTGGATTTCTAACGCCATGGATTATTGTCCAATTTCACACACACACACAAAACTTTTGTCATGATATACGTGTTACATGTTATTTTTAAATTTCTTTTTTTAAAAAATATATAAAAATAATATTTCTTTTATTTTTAAAATTTACTTTTAATAACAACACATTAAAACTATTAAAAAATAAAAAGAAAAAATAATTTTTAAAAATCCTCAAAAATGTAATTGGACCAATATCAAACACTAAAACAAAGCTTAATGACCTGCAAATTATATGCTTTAGTAGGGCTCTAAGTTTCATTTTTGCTAGAATTTCCTCTCAAATTAAGTGTAAGGATTTCTTGATCATGATTTGTTTAGTATCACTCATAATTTTAAAATCTAGACCGGTTTAGTGGGCCAATTCAGATTTGGAATTGAACTGAATTTAAATAAAAATTTATTTAAAAATTGATTTGAAAAAACCCTGTCAATCCATAACCAGAACAACCCAACTGAGACCCAGTTTTTTTTAATATATATATATATAAAAGTTTGTAGGTGTCTGCAACTGCATTCAAGTCGCTTGGTTGACGGGAACGAGTGCAGGTGAACGAAGAAGCTTACCATTCTGCTATCGGTCAGTTATTCAACTAGGCGGGGAATCAACGGCACCACATACAGGGGTGGAGTTAGAATTTCAATTATTTTATACAAGGGAGGGGCTGGGAAAAATTTCCTTGCCGGGGCCCTGGCCCCTGCCAGCCCCCCTCCCTCCGCCACTGATCACAAAGCAAGCCAACCTCAAACACAAAACAAACAAGCTCAGGCTCAGCCAGGGGCCTACTCTCTTTCAAAAAGAGAACAGCTCTATCCCACCTTATACAGGATGCCAAACCAGAACCCGCCTCGTCTCTGTTGGTCGAGAAGTACTCTTCTTTGGTAGGGAAACCACTTGCAAAGGAAGAGTCAGAAAGAGCGGCCTAGAGATGAGAGGAAGAGGCATCCATGAAAGAAACGTAGGTGTTGTGGCTGGGCACAAGAAATTAGTGCGGGGGGAGAGAGACAGAGACCGTGCAGTTTGAATTTTGCCGTCCATGAGCTTGTTTTCTTTCTTTTTCAGTGGTCCGCTATTCCACTCCACTGTGACCAACTGGTTTGAATTTTGTGTGCGCACGTGGAAAAAATACGAAGGCTCTAACTTATTGATTCGGATCTGACTCATCTGACTCGTGATCCAATCATTTAAAAACTATGCCACAACTCCTCACACTCTCTTTCACAGCTGCATTTATTTTTATATTTTTCTTTCTCCTTTTAAGGTTAATATTTAATATTAAAATAATAGTTATTTTTTAAAATGTTTTTTATTTAAAAATATATTTTTTATTTTAAAAAATTATTTTTATATCAAAATCGTATAAAATATATAATAAAATAATTTTAAATAAAAATAAGAAATTTTTATAAAACACTATTTAGAATTTAATTACACGCCACACGATAAATAATTTTTTTAAAAACACGACACCCATCACTTCCTCGCTCAATTTTTGATTAATTGAGAGAGCTCTCTGTGTCTTTTTGAATGATAATAATGTTTTCCTATGCATCTGATCATGAAAGTGCTCATGATTTTAATACCCGCATATTTATACAGTATGTCATATTTTAAATTGTAATTTAAACGAAAAATAGTTAAAATAATGTTTTTAATTTAAGTTTTAGTATATTTGTAAGTGTGATTATGTTTATTTTTTAAAGTATTTTTTATTTAAAAATATATTAAAATAATATATATTTTTTATTTTTTAAAAAATATTTTTAATATCAGCACATAAAAAAATATTAATTCAAAAAATTTAAAAAAAATAAATTTTTTAAAAACATTTTTGGAATACAAAAATAAACAGAATAATTTAGATGTCCCTGTGTCTTAGTGAGGATAAATGATTTTTTATAAATATTTTTTGATTTTAATATATTTATATAAAATGTTTTTGAAAAAATTAAAAAAATTATTTTGATATATTTATAAAAAAAACATTTTAAATCATCACACTGTCATAATCTTAAATACACTCAAAAGCATGTGAGACTCTGGTGGGAGGGGACTCCCAGCATCTTTTGCGCCTGAGCAAGGTGCCCTTCTTTTTTCATGGGGTGGCGACCACCTTTTAAGTGATCTTTCCATTTCAATCCACAGGCAAACTTTTATGATAAAGTCAGGCTTTTTTTATATTAAAAAGCATAGCACTCAGTTTCATAGATTCGTTTTGTGAGAGTGATTTCCAGCAAACTTCAGTCACAAGAAGGATAGAATTGAACCCAGAAAGTTCTTACGCAGTGCTCCACTAGCAAAGCAAATTCTTGTACTCCTCGACCTGCTAATTCTGCTGGTTGCTTGGAGATTGGCTTTCCACTCTCTTAGAATCTCCTCCTCTCAAGGTATATATGCTTTCATGTGGTAGTAATGAACTTATAACAACAAATTTTTTACCAAAATTCTCCTTTATGGCAAGGCCGGATGTTTTTTCTCATGCAAAACTCAAAAGTTGACGGAGCCTATCTGGTGGGAAGGGCACAGGAATCTGATGCGAGGATAGAAGTGTGTGTGTGACAAAAACAAGGAATTTAACCGCAGAAAGTGTAAAGTAGATCGATCGCCATGGAAAACAAAACGGGCGTGGAGCATCTAGTATTTTGTTAAACAAAGCAACTCAGAAATTGTTGGACAATCAATATGCGAAGATTGAGTGAGAAGATGATTATCACTGATATGATAATCAACGTGTGATTGCCTGTGCTAATTTCTCTCCGACAGCAGCAGCATTATAGCTAACAGATGTATTGGCTTTCCTTTGACAGTGCTGCAATAATAAAAAATAAAACTTTCCCTGTACACAATGCTTTCCTTGTAAATCTTGTTCATTGTGCTGTATAAAACGTAATGAAAAGAGATTGGTACCGTTAGCTACGTTTTTACAAGACCCTTTCTCTGATTAGGTTTGAGAAATGCATGTGATTTAGATTTTATTATGTATGGGTATCAAGTCGACAAAGCTATTATGTTTTGAAAATAAAATAAAATTTAAATTATATAAAAATTGATTTGAAATAACTTAATTAACTTGACAAATCTTAATTTTTTTAATATAATATAAATATTAAATTAATTCAAATTAAAGTAAAATTTACAATCCAAATTATAAGATCATGATATTTTATAGTCAATAAATAAAAAATTTGTTGAAGTTAAGGAATAAAATAAAAAAATCAAGTTAATATATATTAACTTATCAAATTTAGATAATGAAATTAACATTATTAAATAAAAAATATATTAAAATAAATTATAAAATTTAATTTTTAATTAACTTAAATAATAAAGAATAAAATTATAAAAATTAATTATAAAAAAATTAAAAATTTACATTAATTTACATTAATTTACCAAACTTTATAAAATAAAATAATCTCTAAACAAAACAAAATAAATTAGTCTTAGTTGAACTTATCTTATTATATATAATTTAGAAAAATAAAAAGAAGTAAGAAGAGAGAAGGGGTAATATGTGCACGTGATCCACGGCTTCGCTGGACAGAGAAAAAGAAGCACTCTCATAAGTCAAATTGATCAGAGAAGCAATGATGACATGTGGCTCTCATCCGTAGACCACAGCTCCTATCTCTTTCTGTCTCCATTTTTCATTGATTGAGAGAGCGCTTCATGTTTTCCTTTTCCTTTGCACATGGCGGGCACCTTATATTAAAATTCTGAATTTTTTTTTATTTAAAATAAATTTGTTATATTTTAAAATTATTTTGATACATTAATATTAAAAATAATTTTAAAAAATAAAAATATTTTATTTAGATGTATTTCTAAAAAAAATACTTTAAACTATTATTGTTACCATAGTTTCAAACAGTTTTTTAAGATTATAATGTGCCTTTTATTTTAAAATTAATTATTAGGAGTATTTTTTTAACTTTTGGAGTTATTAAAAATATATTTTAAAAAATAAAAAAATATTTTAAAACAATTTCAAATAAAAAAGCATTTCTAACAGTGTGCAAACAAACACGACAGTAAACAGCTCGGGGACTGCGTCGTGAAAAGAGCAAGGGCGGCTTTTATGTTCAGTTCACGAGGTGTCCTGTTTTTTTGCCCTTACTTTTATCAAAGCTATCATTTGGCTGGATTTGATGAAGCTAGTGTCAGTTTCTTAATATTTATATAAGCAGTAGAAATAATAATAATAAAAACTATTTGAGACTTTCTATCATCTTGTTGGGATTGGATATATTTAGAATGATATAAAATTTACCTAATGATTTAATTTTTAGCTTTGATTAGATTTTTAAAATTATATTATCATAAATCACAAAATTTTTAATTGTTTAGTTTTAAAGGATAATCCATATAAATTACTAATAAAAAATAATTTTTTTATAGATTTATAGTGCTAACTCTAATTTTGTATTTAGATAATTTTTTTTAATTTCTCACGTAACTTTTTCTCTCTCAAAATAATAGGTGTAGCTTTATATTTATAAAAAATTATAAAAATTATATAAATAACAAGATATTAATTTGCCTTTAAATAGTATATATATACACACATGTAATATATTGATAGATAATTTTAAAAATTTAATTAATCAACTCCCCTGTTAATTAGTTTAGGACTAAAACTATAATCTTTAAATTAAATATATTATACCGCTTAATTTTTAAATTTATTTTTAATTAATTCACACTTGATTAATCATTCCGGTTTAATTTTTTATTAATAATTCTTAATGTGTATGATATATCAGGTTTCTAATATGTTGACCCAAATATAAATTATAATTTTAAATAAATAGAGTTAATAGATAAATAAATTTAATTTATTATCAATTCAATAATTGATTAATTTATATTTAAATATCAAGGATACTGTTTAATAACATATCATAATTTTTTAAATATTAAAAAAATCATAAATAATTTAACTTGAAAAAAACAACATTCAAGTTAAAGTTGAGTGTTTGTTTGAGTATGCATTTAGTATGGTGGTAGTTTTTGAGGTTGTGATTTGAAAAGGATAAACTTGAAAAAAGTTATAAATTATAGCTTTTTTATATTTAAGATTTTAAAAGAAAATTTTCAATAAAATCTATATAAAATTATGATATGTATTAATTAACTAAATACAAGAGCTAAGTAAAGAGTGAAAAATAAATAAAAAGATTATATTTTAGTTTTTCTTTATTTTGTTTTTTATGTTGTAGGAAGTAAGTTAAATAAAATGTTAAAAAATATTTTTTTTAATAAATGTTATTTTTATGGGTTTGTTAGAGATTGGCGATGGTACAAAGTATTTTAAGTTTAGAAATGTATTAAAATAAAAAATTTTTGACATCAATACAATCAAAATATAAAAAAAATAAATTTTAAAGAAACACAATTTACACCATGTTTCTGAGCAATGCAGCATATATATATATTTGAAAAAGTCAAAACCAACAGAACAATAAAAAAACAAACCAATTAAATATAATTATATAAAAAAAACATTAAAATTATTTAAAAAAATAAAATATTTATTTATTCCATTCCAATACAATTAACTTTTCAAATAATTTTTTTATTAGAATATGCATAAGTAAAATAATTTATATTTATACTATTTAAAATATTATTCTATTAATTTAACTCTTTAAAATAACAATTTT